TCATGCCCATCTGCAAGTTCTATATACCATCCTAAATTTAGGTAATTTATCATGTTTCAGAGTTAATACGAATAAAGGTGAAAAAAAGCTCTCAGATTTACAAATTTGGCATTAACCAGTACAGTGATATTGTTTGAAAATCAAAAACACTTAGACGCATATGCAGGTGTATAGGACACACAAAACAACTTACCCACTGGACTCAGCTCAGATTGGACTGTTATTAAGATATACTACATACAGACTTGCTCAGATTATACATGGATAGCATGGAAAAGAGTAAAATAAGAGTCATATACATGAAGAAACTGGTTATATTCTGGGAGGAGTTATTTGCCTTTTTTCGCTGGTCATTTGGTCGCTTCATCAGTCCCTGGTCAGAACTCCAGCCACGCAAGGAATTGAGTTCTCATGAAGTGACTTACTTGAGAATTAAAAATAAAATAAAGATGTGGGGTCACTGGTATAAGTAGCAGAGGGATCTTTCTAATGTACATGTCAGCATAACTAAGCTGGGTAACCTTGAAGACCCCATTATCGCCAAGGAGAGGGAAGTGTTTCCATGATATGTTCCATGTGTGCTCCAGTATTTGAAACATATCATTAAATCAGCTGTATTTGAAACAATGTACAATGTGACAATTTTTAAATATGTGACTGCATGATGAGACAGATACTAAGCTTTCAGTAATCACAAAGAACATTTTCATAACACACTACTCCAAAGAGAGTATTTGACACACCCTAGTTTATCAATTGCTTCTTTGTGAAAATAGGTCAGTTGCAGAAATTTAGAACTTGCCCTACACAGTAGTTTCTATTTGCATTACACACATATATGATAATATGTATTATATAAACACACTGTGAATATGGAAATAAGATTCCTCATTTCTTCACTTATGATACTAGCAAAGGAAAATCTGTATAGCATAACCTTCTTTCTCCTAGATGCTGGATACCTGCAAAATCATTCATATCCATTTGTCACCTAAGATTTAATAGTTCCAAAGGAACCATTACAACGTGTAATATGCAAGCATTAAAAAATAATTTACAAGATACATCAACAGTAATTGTTTTATGCCATCAAAATAGAGCTTACATATTACCTTTTATAATGCCACGACACTGTAAAAAGTCTTAAATCTTTATAAAGATACATCCATTTTATTATTTTTTCAAACCTTTCTGAAGTATAATTTTATTGAAGCAAAGAATGGTATGTCAAGGACTAAGGTAAAGCATACTACTTGAACTGCCCCAAAGCTTCCAATGCCCTCAGCTTTCCATCTCCTGTTGAGATCACAGTGCATCCATCCCCATTACACCTCTGTCTTCAACTCCCGCTCTTCTCCCTCACTCATTGGCCTCCTTGTATGTCTGAATGATACCAGGAATATTCCAGAATTAGAACATTTTCATTTGCATTCCCTCTATCTGGAAGACTCCTCCCCAGACATTCACATGGCTTGCTGGATAATGCCCTTACTCATTCAAATGTCGCTCTCAGTGAGCGCTGTTATGGCTTCCTCTGTTTTTAAAAATGCAGTCCCCACACACAGTCCCCTGTTCTTCCCTTCCCTGATGTAGTTTTTCTCCTCACTATTATCACTTGCCAATTATACATATTATTTTAATTTTTCACTTTTTATCTGCTTTTTTTCCCCACTAGAATGTAAGCTGCAAAAATGTAAGAATGCTTTTTTCTCTGTGGTTTCCCTGGTGCCTTGATCCGCGTCTGTCATGTAGCAGGTACTCAGTGATATGTGTTGAATGAATGAGTGGGCTATACAACAAATATAAAGATGTTAGTGCACAGGAGTTTCATACTGAAATGTGTGTGGTGAGAGGGGTGGAAGGAGAGTTTAGGGCCAAGAAGTCACCAGGACTAAAATCTTAGACTCATTAACATTAACAAATTGGTTAATGTTTTTAAAGTTATTGAGAGAGACCATAATGGGTGACCTTTTTTTTTTACTTGCTTAAATTAATGTTTGCCTTTATGAACATTATTTTCTGTATATTCAAAAGGGGTTTATGATCCTTTAAAGACAGTTCAGATTAGAATGCTATTCCTAATGAGTTACAGAAAGAGAGCTCTGGAATATTGCTGCAGGACAAGATCCTGGTAAAGTGTCAGACATTTGAGAATTCTATGCCAGAGGCTGATTGTAACAGAAAAGAGATAAAATTAACCTAATTTAATTAATATTAATGGATCTTTAATTAAGTGAAGGTAAAAATGCAGGTCTGGATATAGTGACAATCAGTTTGTCGCCAGAATCGTGTCATAGAGTGACAGAATTACTAAAATATCTTGTAGCTTCTTTGCTACATCAGAAAAACTAAAGGAAGGCGGTTCTGATGAGGCCGAAGGTGAACTGGAAAAATAAGTTATCTTATAGAAAATGTATTATTACAGGGGCCACCGTAACTGCACTTGTTTAATTGATTTAAGAAGAGCAAGCTGGAAAGTATTCCAACATGGAGGCTGGTGTTACAGATGAAGGGAACCTGTGGCTCAGAGGAGTGAAGTAGCTTGTCCAAAGTGATGCTAAGAAGTTCCTGGATCAAGTATTTGTATTCTGTTTATTTTTGTTAATTCACTCTTCTATTCAAAAAGTATTTCTTGAAGGCCTATCGTGTGCCGATTGCTGTTCTGGGCACTGTGCACACAGTGTCGGAAAGAGTCCCCACCTTCTTCCCTTCTAGCGTAGGGAGACAGACAGTAAAAAATAAGGAAAATAGGCACTGTCAGATTGAGATCAACGCTACGAGGAAAACGAAAGCAGGATGGGGAGAGAGGAAGCAGCTGTGAAGGGTTGGGGATCAGCAAAGGAAAAGATGGGACTGGAGCAAAGGGCAGGAGGAGCCGGCATGCGCCCTGAGGGTTTCTGAGCAGGGCCGGCTCCAGCCAGAGGAAACAGCAAGAGCAAAGTCTCCGGAGGGGGAGCTTCCCTGGTATCCTGACGTGTTTGAGGAACACCAGGAGGTCTGTGTGGCTGGAGCTAAATGAGCCAGGGGAGTTTAGCAGGGTGAGAGCTAGGAGCGAGGAGGAGTAGGATCACGGAGGGCCTTCGGCTACGTTAGGAACTAGACTTTTACTCTGAACTAGACTGGGTACCGTGTGAGGGCTTTCAGCAGAGAGGCAGAATCTGGCCTGTATTTGAAAAGGCTCAGCCTGGCTGCTGCGTGGAGGGTGGGTGTGAGGGCGCAAGGCTGGAAAGCCGGGGCCTGGTTGGAAGTTACTGTGGTGATGCAGGCGAGAGGCGATGGGGGCTTTGACCAGAGCAGTGGTGGTGGGGTGGGGCTGAGGAGTCCTCAGATACTAATAAACAGGTGGAGCCGACAGGATTCACTGACATGCTGGATGACGCGTGTAGAAGAAAGGGAGGAAGTAATGGTGCCTCCAAGGATTTTGTCCTGAGCAACTGGAAGAATGGAGCTGCCATTTACTGACATAAGGAAACTGCATGAGGGGCAAGTTCAGGAAGTCTCTTAATCTATAGGTCTCTCTTCCCTTGTCATTTATAATTTATCTGTTGTAAACGCTAGGTTGTATAATCTCTAGGGTTTCCCTCAGTGTTAATTTTCTGATTGTTTCCCCTTGGTGCCATTTAGCATGTTCCCTTCTCCCCAGGAATTCCTGGACTTCGGCCGTGAGGGCTGCAAGCTTGCTGAAATTGGTGTTTGATTTTTGTCCACGCTGCTCCACGTGTAGTGTTGTGTATTCCTCTGGTTTCACTTTTGGTTATAAGCAGCCATGAATAATCATTGCGTAGATCCTACTTTTTAGAACTTAGAAAATGATGATACTCGAATTCTATTATTTAGTCTTCATTTATGAGCTGAAATATTTCCACAAAGGGAGCATTTAGTTACATTACAATTCAAGTTGGTAAGATAGGCTAAACGCTTGATTCTTTGCCTTTATTTTACGAATATTCAAAATAATCAGTTACCTAGCATCTTCCAAAATTGAACATTTCTTTTTATTTTAATGAACTCATGGAATTAAATATAATTGATATATTTTATTCCATTGCAGGAAATTCTTATTGATGTTAAAATTGTCCCTCTCTGGCCCTGGGGGTTTTTGAACTGCCCTATGTCTCCAATAACTTCTCGTGTGACAGTATGTTCCAGGCTCATCCTGTACATTTCCAGCCGTGGACTCAATCATGTCTGCAGGGAGCCCAGTTTTCTCTTGATGGAAAGTGTATTGAGTGATGACGATCTGGTGCTAGACGTTGGTCCTTGTTTGGGGGCTTTTTCAGTGGACAGACCTAGGACATATGTCTACATTTTTTAAAAGATAACATTATCATGGGTTTATAATGACGGTTTTAATTCAAATTCAGAAGTATATAGGGTTTTAATTTAACTTCATCATTCTTTTATCTGCTTCTTCTTTTCACACATTGAAATTTTCAGGGTCCAAAACACCAAGATAATTACGTATTTGTATTGTCCCACGTGTACAGAGCATTTCAATAACAGAGAATGCAGTGTCTAATTTTACCGGAAAGGTCAGGGTTTTATTGACAAGATAAGGATGCATATTCTGATTGCAGCAAACAGCCAGGTACAAAGATCCAGAGGCTTGAGAGAGCAGAGTTAATTTAGGGAAGAGCAAATCCTGTTCTACTGGAGGAGTGATGGCCTTTAGAGTCAGGAAGGAGTCAGAATATCACGGGCCTCACAGTCAATGCTGCGGCCAGTAGAGCATCAGCCAGATACTCAGGCTATTTGTTTTTGTTTTCAAGAGGTATTTTGTGTATGTTTCTAATAAAACATTCTACTTTTCTACTTTGTCAATATAAGCAGACCTTAGGTGTGAGAAAAGGGCGGGAATTATTTTAAGGATTATTATCTCTAACTCTGTTCCTCCTCAGTTCAGCGAAAACACCAGTGAAATGGTAGCTCAATTATTTTCTGACATTTGAACAAGTGTTTGCATACTAATGACCCATTGTCATGGCATTTTCTCCCCACAGAGGACAAAGTGTGGACCATAGTGTCTCACGATTTGCACATGCAGACGACAGTGGTGGGCTACAACCCAGAAAAATACTCAGTGACACAGCTCATTTACAGTGCCTCCATGGACCAGATCAGCGCCATCACCAGCAGCGCCGAGTATTGTGAGCAGTACGTCTCCTATTTCTGCAAGATGTCGAGGTTGTTGAACACCCCAGGTAGGCCAAGAAGGAATGCTACTTTTAATTACTGTCTCAGCTGGTGCTTGGAATTGCCTAAACAATACAACAGGTGTGGCTTATTATCTTCTAGTCCAGTCTTCAACGTGTGCCCAGCTGTGAAGAAGTACAATAAATCATTTGGTTTGTTTTCTGAGGAATGAAGCTAAGAAAGCATGATTTTTTTAAAAAAATGCATTGTTTTAAACTTATAGATTATTCTGTTTTATATGCATATATATGTGTGTGAGTGTTTCTGGCGCTTAATTATCAGTAGTTGCTTTGGGCAAAAGTTTATCAGAGCTCCTTGTGAACTTTCAAGTAATTCCCTTTGAATTTGTCTTTAATGCAAAGATGAAAACATTCAAAAGACTGTCTGCAGGTAAACTGCATATAGGATAATGACAGAATTCAGAACTCCTTGTTGTCTATAGTCATTTAACATTATCTGTCTCAAGAAGTCCAACCTAAATTTTTTTTTCATGATGGCTCACTTTTAGCAATCCTTCGGGGGGTGTGTGTGTGTGTGTTAGAGATATGGAAAATAGAGAGTTTCCAAAGGATATTCTGGAAATTTCTTTACTGCAAGAGTGATACACTCTGGTGTTCTTGACAGTGAATTCAACATGTTGACAGATGACTAAATCTCTCAGTGTATAAAAGCATGTGCTTTGAGTCAGAAAAGCAGGTTCCTACTTTTCAGCCTCTCCATCCCCAGGTGTGACTTTGGGGGAGTTAGTTGAACTCTTAAGTCTCAGTTTCCAATGTCTTTTTCAGTCAAATAGGAATCATATGCCTATTTCAGGGTGATTATGAGAATTTAATGACATAATATACTAAATACTTATTATAGGGTTTTATACACTCAAGGACTTAATAAATAGAAAATAGTGTATTAATTTTTTATATTAAACAACTTTGGAAATGGCGTAATGCTAAGTCAGAGACCAATGGGCTGTCTCATGCCCCAAATCATTATTGTATTGGAGCCAATGTCGTAGAGAGTAGCTTTTAGAGAAGAGTTATGAGCAAAATAATATACAATATTCTAAAGATCTGAGTGCTTTTTATGTACAAATCCTGGTGCTAAAATTACAGACAAGTGGGGCCGGCCAGGTGGCATATTGGTTACGTTTATGCATCCTGCTTCGGCAGCCCAGGGTTCATCAGTTTGGATCCCGCACACGGACCTATGCACTGCTTATCAAGCCATGCTGTGGAAGGCATCCCACATATAAAGTGGAAGAAGATGGGCACAGATGTTAGCTCAGGGCCAGTCTTCCTCAGCAAAAAGAGGAGAATTGGCAGCAGATGTTAGCTCAGGGCTAATCTTCCTCAAAAAAACAATTATAAAATAAAAAAAAAATTACAGACAAGTGTAACCCATGGATTCTAAGAAAGTCAAGTCTGTAAAATGTGAAAAATGCTTGATTCAGACAATTAGTGCTTCTGCTGTTTGGAGGAAGAGGTGATTGTGGCTGGGATGTTGAGGTGCTATTTCAATAAAGAGGTAGAAAGACTGTTGAAGGTTGGTGAAAGAGGGTGAGCAAAAGTCTGGAAGACAGAATGAATGATGCTTTGGGTCACGGTGAGAAGCAGTTGAGCTGAAGCAGAATTCAGGTGGAAGAGCAGTAAGAAATAAGGTTGCAAAGTAAAAATGGGAGAAACTGTGGAGGACACTAAACGCTATGCTGTGGAGCTGGGACTTTTCCTTGAAGGCCACTGCTCCTCAGCCGTGAGCGTGCATTAGAACGACCTGCAGACGTTAATAAAACACAAATTGCTGGGTGCCCTCCCTGCTTCTTATTCAATACATCTGAGGCAGGGCTAGAGAATTTGCATTCGTAATGAGTGCTGTGGACTGAATTGTGTCCCTCTAAAATTTGTGTGTTGAGGTCTTAACCCCCAATGTGACTGTATTTGAGATAGGCCTTTTAGGAGCTAATTAAGGTTAAATGAAGTGATAAACTAGGTTCCTAATCTGATTGGATTGGTGGCTTTATAAATAGAGAAAGAGAGAGCTTTTTCTCTTTCTCCACCATGTGGGCATACAGTGAGAAGGTGACCATTTGCAAGCCAGGAAGACAGCCCTCACCAGAAACCAAACTGGCCGGGACCTTGATCTCGGACTTCCAACCTCTAGAACTGAAAGAAAATAAACATCTGTTGTTTAAGCCCCCAGCCTGTGGTATTGTGTTATGGCAGCCGGAGCAGACAGACAATGAGTTCCCAGGTGATGCTGATCTTGCTGGACTGAGACCACTCTTGGAGAACCACTGCCATGAGCCATGGAAAAGCTTTAAGGTTCCTGCAGCCCAGCTGTCTTTCTGTTCACCTTCACTTATCACAGGCTTTTTCACTGGATCCGGTTTCCAGTGCTAGGAAAAGTCAACCAAGGATTATAGAAGATCCAGGGCACTAGGCACAAGTAATGAACCCGATCAGCTTGTCTGCATGGTTTCATGAACGAGTGCTCCTTATTGAATGAAGTTCGTTTCAAAGATTTCAGCCAGTCCTGGGGTTGGGATGGGAGTGAGGGCAAGTTGCTGACCAGACAAATAACTTGGTACCATCAGCTTTATTTTTTAAATTTTCTTCAATTCTTCTGTTAAACTCCCAAGTGAACTTTCACTTTTTGAGTTTTGCTCTGGTGGTTAAAAAACACAATATGACTTTTAAATAAGTGCAACTTGTAGTTTGGGCACCAGGAGAATTAAGTGGGAGGTAAGCGAAAGAGTTTGTCTTTAGAGCTCCCAGTCTTGCAGTTCATTCCTTTCTCTCCCTCATTGACACCCCAAGTGTCTCCCTCCAGCCACGAAGAAGCCTCAACCACTTATTACCCTCCTTTTCAAAACAGGATGTCCAAAACATCAGGAAAAATAGGATACATTTCTTTTTAAGAAATACTTCAGTTACATTTTCTAATAATAAGCACACTTCAACCTCCAGATGCCTTTTCAGGGGAAGAATTAATAATTGAAATCAAAAGTTAATTGTTAATCTGAACAATAAGCACCGTGTTCTCTTTGTGTTTCCAGACATTTGTAGATTATCATTGTACTAAAATCGTAGTTTGAAGACAAATTTGTCACAAGCTTCTTGCCTTTTGGACACCCTATATGTATGAAATTTTTCTTTCACATAGGCTTGGTACTTAATAAATGTTTGCTGATTGGAATGAAATGAAAATCTATAGCATTGAATATTATCTCAGCTCACCGTCTGGCAGTTGTTTTTAAATGAGTGCGTGCAGGAGAATTTTCAGGCTTCTCGAGATGCTGATTCCACAGCTTCTTCCCGGAACTCTGATTTCACGGAGCTCAGTTGGCACCCAGGAACATTTGCTTTGAAAACAGCTCCATGGATAGTTCTGTGCACCATACGTTGGGAAACACCATCTTTAGGGTGGGAAGGTCTCTCCTGTTGGGCGTTAAGGTGCCAGTCCTCCATGTGGGGGAAGATTAAAGGGAATGTTAGAACTTGTCTGATCAATTGAAATAAAATCACACACATAATTACCTGTTTCTTCAGCTAAGATAAATTGGCATTGTAGTATTTTTTAATTCTTTTCATAGATCAGTCTCTAAATATTGTGAAGTAAATTTCAACCTACCCTTATGAGTCATTTTTCCCACTCCCACTTTCTATTTTCCAGGCTAACTAATCTCTGAACAGCTGAGGCAAGGAAAGGCAAGTTTTCCTGTATCACTGTGTTCTGTATATGTTCAAACAAGAAAGAACACAATTTAATAAAAATCTTTAATTTGCCGTTTGAAGGAGCCAATGTTTGCCGTAATTGGCTTTTTCCCTCCTTCCTGGTAACATTCAATTATAAATCTCCATTTACTTGTTTTTAACTAAGACTGAATTATATGGGAACTTCTGTAGCAGTACTTGTGACATCTGTTTGAATACAAAGTATATTCATTATAGTCATGACAATTAAAATGAATATCAAATGAGTTTGTAATAGCTATGCACTTAAAATGTTATTCTTTATTTTAAGAGCTTTACCCTCAAGACTTCATTTGGGGCTCTATAGTTTCTAATGATACTTATGATAAAGAGTTGACTTTATATGCATACGGACCTCATTTTTATTTTGGTGAATGTTTGGTTGTACCATACCATAAGCTAACAAATGTAGAATTTCATTATTGGTTTCTCCCAGCTTTTACAAGGATAGTAATATTTGAGCTGCAATGTTATATCTTCTTTTTATTACTACAAAATTTAAAGATGGAATGAACTTTAAAGTAGTGATTTTGCCATTCTTTATAATCATATCTATTCTTGCAATGTCACTATTAATTCAGTTTTCCTTAATCAACTTTATAAAAGACATAGAAACAAGAAAAATATGTTATTTTATTCCATAGAAAAGTCTGTTTGGAATGAGGCATACCAATTTGGGAATGGATAAATTAATTCTACCCAAATAGAGAAGACCATTAATGGCTATCCAAAACCAAAAGGATGCTAACATGTTTTATATTTGTATCACCATAACTGCAGATGTAATAATATCTTAACTTATGAAAGGCAAAAATCATTAAACAATCTGCTTCTGAAATAAATACCTTAGGAATTTGAATTTGATAAATTAAACACCAAGAGAAAGTTTCACTAGATCCCACTTAAATAAAGTCTTAGTCAACAATCTTAATCCTTTTAGATGGCCCAACTATTTCTCTATATTTGGACAACTACTGGCCTGCTTTTAAAATGCTTATTTGTGTATCTTAGATGTACTGTACTCATATATTTATTTTACAAATCATGATGCTTTCTAATTAAGAATTTTCAGCTCAAGTATTTATTCCCTACGCATATGAAGATTTATCTAATAACAGAGGTATAAAGTTGATATGTTTCCTTTTTTTTCTGACTATATTGTGTTGTTTTTGTTGCTTTCCAGGGTCTCAATTTTTTTAATTTCTCAATGTAGCCCAGTTCTCGTAAGTCATAGTTTTACTGCTTCTTTTGTTGTTGAAAGAAGC